GGCTGGGCAGACGCTCCGGGTCCCCAGCTCCCCCCCCCCCGCGGCAGTGCTCATGCGTCCCTGGCACGATCTCATTCTCGGTCCTCATTGAAGGATCCCATGGCAACCAGGGCCCCTCTCTTATGCCCACCCCCAGTGCCACCCACAACCTGGCAGAACGGGGGACGGAAGAACTCCGTGCGCCTCTGTAGACAAAACCACCAAGTAATGGAGACGGAAATGAAAAGAGCACAAGTGGGAAGCGTTGTGAGGCAGAAACACAGGAAATCTTAGCAGAACTCCTTAGAAATGCAGCTTGTGGGTGGCAGGTACATGGCAGAGTATGAAAAAAAAAAAAACCCGAACTGTTTGCAGCCTTTCTAAATCACAGTCATGAAGACCCCGCACCTTCCCTCTGCCTGGCTCATCCTGGCTGTCAGAAAAGGAACAATAGCATCAGACAAAGATCAGCAAATGTTTCAGTGGAAGGAAAGACAGCGAAATCCTCAGCACCCAGGGCCACACCGTATTTGTCACGACTGCTCAGCCACCTCTGTGGATGAAGAGCCGTACACAATACATTTAACGAGCGGGGTGGCCGTGTTTCAATAAAACTTTATTGACTAAAATCATCAGTGAGCCACATTTGGTCCAGGGCCAATAGTCTGCGACCCAGAGAGCTGGGAACTGAGGACAGTCTTTTCTGCAATAATGAAAATCTTCTGATTCTGTATTCTATATTTACTGAGAGCTTGAAAGGTGTCCAGTGCAACTCAGAAGCTAGATCCTAATCTTATTCCTTCTGATGGACCCAAATGCACTCAGGCACCATGAGCAGCGGCTGCTGTGTTGGACAACACAGCCCACACTTAACGTTAAGGGCAGAGCCTGTGTTCGTGTAGACCATATGCTTCTCCAGAAAACATCTTATTGCTCTGAAGATAAACCCTGTATCTTAGGCACCAGGAATTCCAGGATACGAGTGCGCTTCCGATTAATTTCCCAGAATTAAATTATACTTACCAAGAACGTTTCGACCCCTGCTGGTGACCGTACATATTAGACACAGTGCGACTGTCTGCCCCGCCCAGGCCAGAGGAAGTCCACCCTCCCGGGCCTACACAGAGCTCATCAATCTGTACCGGTCCTCAGACACCACGGGGGCAGAGTTTTCTACCTGTTTTACGGAGCTCCAGTGCTACTTCATTCTCTCCCGGCCCACCAAGCTGAAGGATTTGATTCGCCTGGTGAAATACTGGTATACACAGGTGCGGCCCTCGGGTTACCGCACCTCCCAGGAAGCGCTCGCCACAATCCAGCAGACTTTCAACCCTGTAGATCTACTTTGTACAGTTCCCAGCGCCAGCCCCATTTATTTGGGTCAGGCGTTCGCTACCCGCTACCATCAAAGCTGCTGTCTGTGGCTTATTCTGCCCTCATCCTGGCCCAAGAACTCCGCAGGAATCCAAACCTACCGGTTCTAAAGGGTGGACGGGGGTCAGGTGACCGGATGTCCCGCCCCCTACGAGCTCTCAGTGGGCAGAGCCGGCGCTGTCTCCCGGAAATCGGCCCAAGCTCAGGTGGTCTGGGGCTGCCTCGCACATGAGGTCGATTCTGAGTCTGTCATGATGACACCAAGCGCAGGATCACTTCTTCCTCTCTCACCACCCTTACTGAGGCCATCTGATGTCCCCACTCTTTCCTCAGTGTGAACAGAGAATGAAGTCAGAGGGTTCTCTGCCCCCCAAATACGCTCTGGAGCTGCTCACCGTCTACGCCTGGGACCGTCCTGGAGCTCATCACAAAGTATCAGCAGCTCTGCATCTGTTGGAAGGTGAATTACAGCTTCCGGAAAGTGGTCACAGGGCAGTTCCTGCTGAGCCAGCTCCTGAGGCCCAGGTACTCCCTGAGCCTGACTCCCTTTCACACTGGCCCGGTGGCCCGTTCTCTCTCCCTGGGCCGACTCCACTTTGTGTGAAGCTGGGGTCAGGCAGTGCTAACGACAGAGCTGTTCAGTGTCTCGGGGACAAACTTGAGGGAGCGGAGGAGACAGAGGAGGGACAGAGGCACAGGGCCCCTGAGTTTCTGTCACCTAGGTCAGAAGGAAGTGCTCGGGTTTGTCAGGAGGTCTAGGAGGGTCCCTGAGAAATGACACTACCATCATCGCGGGCTGATTTGTTATTAGTGTTTTTGTTAGACCGAGCTTTTTGTTGGTTTGTTTCAGTTTGGTTTGGTCTGGTTTGGGCAGTACTGTAAGTCCCCAACTTAGGAATGAACTCCGTTCTCCAAGAACATTCGTAAGGCGGATTCATTTGGAAGTCCAACAAAGTGAGTCTCACACACCTTTGACACAAATATATCATGTAAAGCATAAAACACACACACACACACAAATACTGTAAATAAACTCTTTGGACTTTTATGGTGACCTTGAAATGGTGGTACGGTACAGCAAAACCACATAGCTACTACTGAGATTTGTTCACATTGGGAATGTTCGTTCTGAGCGATCTGTTCTTATCTGTCAAGGTTCCCAGCACGAATGTTTGTTCATAAGTCAGGGACATACAGTATTGGAAATTGAACCCAAAGCCTTCACACTGAGTTACATCCATAGCCCTTTTTAAATTTTTTTTTTTTTCGTTTTCAGATAAGACACTAAGTTGCCCAGGCTGGCTTGAACTTGCGATCCTCCTGGTTCAGCCTCCCAGAGGGCTGGAAGGTGTGTGCCACCACCTCTAGTTTAGATCAGATTTTATCTACACTTTGGGGCCTTCAACAATATGCTCAGCACCACCAGAAGGGAACAAAAGCAATGGAAGAAGGAAGAAAGGAGAGAGAAAGTAAAGGAGCTTGGAGAAGGAACAGCGATGAGAAAGCAACAGCCCTCCCTGCTGGCCCTACTTGGGACCTACTTGGCAACCGTTTTATTTAGCAAAAGATACATTGTGTCTCACGGAACTTAGCGGGGAGGCCAGAGTTCACTTTGGCTTCTCTGTGCAGTTACAGCTTTCCAAATTTTGAAACAGTGTATTTGAATGACTGATAGCTCAGATGTCAGGGCACACTGGTTTTGTGGCTGAAACTGAGTCGGCTCCTAAGTTCTAAGTTCTAACGCCATAAATATGGAGAAATTCTAATTTCTTCTAACTCTTCCTTTAGGCCTGTGATCTTGGACCCAGCTGACCCCACTGGCGATGTGGGTGGTGGAGACCGCTGGTGTTGGCATCTTCTGGCTAAAGAAGCGAAGGAATGGTGTTCTTCCCTGGGCTTCAGAGATGGCATGGGGGACTCCACCCAGCCCTGGAAAGTGCCAGTAAGTGTACTGCAAAGGCGGTTTCTCCTGGAGGCAGCTTTGGAGTGTTGTGCCCAGATCGCGATGTCCCCAAAGACCACCAAGGAGTCAAGTCCGATGTAAATGCACGAGGAGTTTATTGCAAGCTCGAGCCTGGACCCTCGTACTTCACCGACTGAGCGGATTAGCCACGAGAGCCCCGATTCACTTTTGAAGCATTATATAGGGTTGGGGAGGCTTAAAACTCTTTCTCCCGTTTATTGATGCTATTTTTAACTTTGTGTTACTATTGGATATTGCCAGGGTACTTATGGGAACAGGAAAATAGAAGCGGGAAATAACCAATGCCCACGAGGAGGGACAGGTTCAGCGGGGGTCGTTATGTTCTTTTCCATCCTATATGATTGAACAATTAGGCAAACTCTCTATGCTTAGTGTAGCATATGATTTTCTTACTTAACTTATCTCTAACTTACCTTATTCCTCAAACTCAGGCAGCTATCGGGGAGGAGACAAGTTCACTCTTGGGTCAGAACAAGGGGAACAGAGAAACAAGAAGATTGTTATACAAATGTTATTTTCTGCCTAGAATTCAGAGAAAGGTAAAGGGCGAAGAGGGAGCCCACCTTGATCAGAAAAAGAACAATTAGAAACTCTCTATGCTTAGTGTAGCATATGATTTTCTTACTTAACTTATCTCTAACTTACCTTATTCCTCAAACTCAGGCAGCTATCGGGGAGGAGACAAGTTCACTCTTGGGTCAGAACAAGGGGAACAGAGAAACAAGAAGATTGTTATACAAATGTTATTTTCTGCCTAGAATTCAGAGAAAGGTAAAGGGCGAAGAGGGAGCCCACCTTGATCAGAAAACTTGGTTCCTACAGGAGCAGGCTTGAATCAGGGAACTTCTCCTACTGCAACCACCCTGAATAATCCAGCCACAAAGAACAAAAAAATCCGACTCATCGGGTCTGAAGCAACCGCCCCCTTCCCCAGTCTGTCGCAAATAACCCAGAGGCCAGGAGCCCAGGGCTCACAGTACAGCGCTGTGGGCTTTCTCTGGGAGCAGCTGTGCCCCCCCCCCGGGACACTGTTGCCACTTGGAGCTGGCTGTCCTTTATCGGGTGTGGGTGGGCACTGAGGACCCTGAGCCGCGTCCTTGGTCTCAGGGTTCCTGGGTTGGGGACACGGCTCTTTCTGGCTGTGGGCGTGGACTTTACTCTCTTTTTAGTTGTTGGCTTCCGTATTCCTGGCCCCTGAACCAGCAGCTGCAACTCCAGGCAGCAGGCTTACCAACAAGGCAGGGAGAGTGGAAAGGGAAAAGATAACCAGGGCCAGAGCACAGGGATTTTGTCGGAAGCTTCACCCGGCGTATTCTGACACTTCGCTTCCTACAGTGAATCCCCACGGGGCTGCACAGAGGGGATGTTGATGACTGAGGAGGTGGCTGGGTCTGTCATGGCGAACACCTGCCACCCCGGCCCAGGGTCCCCCTCCTGCCAGGGTGGGCTCGGTGCACCTGCCAGGACATGTTCTCACGGCATCCTCGGTCCTTTGCCCACACTCCCAGCTTCTTTCCTCAGAGCAGCCTTTCTCAGCCCCGCACCCTTGACATTTGAGGCCAGGTGACTCTGTCTAGGGGGTGCTCCTGTGTGTTGTAGGATATTGATCCCAGGCCTCAGCCTAACCGCTGCTACCGAGTGGAGACCATTAAAGTGTCTCCGTGAGAGGCTGAGGCAGGAGGGTCACGAGTTTGGCGCAATTTAGTGAAGCCCGGTCTTAAACTCGAAAATTTTTGGGTTCAGTCCTCAATTCAAAAAGAAAAACCAACAAAAACCTTAAAGACATTGTCACATGGCCTCTGGGGAGCAAAAGTGCACCCAGATGAGAACCCCTGCTTTGGACAAAGTCCTCTGCCTTCAACTGTGGGTTCAGCACACATCACAGTCTGCACTACTGGAAGATGTGAAACAGGGTCTCTGGCCATAGCTTCCTCCCTTCCCAGATGCAGTCTCCCGCTCAGGGGGCGAGGGGCTGGATCCTTTCCCCGCGGCCCGCACTGCTCAGGAGACGCTGTTCCTTTCTACATGGTGCAAAGCCCGGGAAGCTGTGGGGCTAGGATGCACCCTGTTGTCAACGAGATGCTGTCACTCAGAAGCCACCTCCCGGGATGGCTGTGCTAGAAGAAACGTCCAGAGCTCGGCTGCCAGTTGCTCCCGGAGAAGCAGGGTTTTCCAGACAACCCCTCGCCTTTCAGTCTCACCAAGGAAGCCCCTGTGTCCCCCGGCGAAGCCCTGCTCGGGCCTTGGTACCCAACACTCTGAACTTCCTCTTCGAACCCTCCATCTGCCTCTTTTCTTCCCTTCTGTGCACAACCCTCCCCCCCAGCAGGGAGCCAGCTGCTCCTCTCTTCTCCCTCAGGCCTGCAAGGGTTTTCCTGACAACAGCTCCCTCACCTAATTTCGCCTGTTGCCTGTGCCCACCCAGCCGGATCTTCCTGCCAGACCTAAAGGCTTCTTCCTAGACCTCTAGCTTTAAAGATACTCCACGGCCTAGGTGCCTTAACCTCATAAGCCTCCTCCATGGCTCTATTTCCCCCACTTCTCTGAGATTAAAGAGTACACCTGGCCTTTCTGCCCAGTTCCTGGCACAGAGCCTTAAAACCCATGGCATTTTCTGTCCAAAGTATTCTTTTGTCTTCATAATGAGTCCTTTCTGACCATCCCTGTGACAAAACTAACAAGATGACAGTGTGGGCTCCCGGGCATTTCAAGGGAGGGACATTCAGTCCCGCACCCCAAACCTGCAGGGAGGAGAGGGGGCTAGAGATTGAACTGGATCGTGGCCAGTGATGTAATCAATTGTGCTGGAATGGTGAGAGCCCGATTACCAAAGGAAGAAAGAAAAGAGGAGAAAGGGAAGCGAGAGAAACACAGGACTCTGAGCTTGGGGCATCCTGGTTGGTAAACTCTCCAGCATCTCATCAGGAAGGCAGCACGTCCCGTCTCCATGAAGACAGAGGACTCTGTGTAGCTCCTCCCCTGTGTGCTGCTCACTTATATCCTTTCTAATAAAATGGCGATTGTCAGTACAGCTCTTTCCTGTGTTCTGTGAGCCATTTCAGATGAGTTATCAAACTTGAACGCGCATCATGGGAACCACCGCTTGCAGCCAAGTTAAACACAGGTGCAGGTACCCTGGGGCTCCCCCTTGTGGCTGATGTCTGAAGAGCTGACACAGCCCTTGCTCTGAAACCTGCCCGGTAGCTGGAGTCCAGACTGACTTGCAGAACAGGCAGCTGCTGTGAGAGGGCCGGTGTTGGAATGCACCACTGCTCTCGTCCAGGACAAAGGCAAAAGAGCAAGATATAACTGATGGTGAAAAGTGAAAGAATGAGCCAGGGTGCCGGTGCACACCTGTATCCCTAGCACTGTAGGAGGCTGGGGCAGGAGTGAGTTGAGACCAGCCGGGGCGATTCAGCGATGTAACAAGACCCTGTCAAAAAAAAGGGGGGGAAGACTTGGGATGTAGCTCAATGCAAAGGCCTTGAATTCAATCCCCAGAACTTAAATAAATAAGTAACTAGGAATAAAGTCAGCGACTCAAAGCCACACAAAGGCAAGAAGGGACCATTTCAGTCTTTCATGCCAATGCCTTCCAGCACCCAGCAGAGAGTTAAATTCATTAAGAGCAGATATGAGAATTCATAGTGATCAAGAGCACTCATCGTTACTAGAAGTAGCTAAGAGTCAGATCTGATAGTGCACGCCTGTAATCCCAGCACTCACGAGGCTGAAGCAGGAGGATCACCATGAGTGTAAAGGCCAGTCTGGGCTACATCGCAAGAGCCTGTTTAAAAAAAAACACAAAACAAAGCAAACAATGACAGCTAAACAGCAACAGAAGAAAACAAGGAAGTTACTAGGACACCAACACTTTTTCAGAAAATATTAGTAACTAATGGCAACAAATAGGAAAAAAATTGAACCCAACCTTTCTTGTATGTCAGGACAGACAAGCTGATAAGAAACTGATGATAAGAAAAACTGGGTTGTTTTTGTTTTTTAACAGAAGAATTCTACTTAATAAATGCTGAGAGGGTGACAAAATTAGAAACAGTTTTGCAGCCTCTGGTGAAATAAGTGATTTAGGCAGAGATTATCATCTAGGGGTGAAAGTGTTAGGTGAAGAGCTGGTGGCCTGCTGTGATGGGGTAGCAGTGTCACCCCCCAAATCCTCACTTAAATCACAGCGTCAGTGAGAGAGGAGTTATCGGGGCTTGGGGTCCAGCTCAGTGGAAGGGTACGTATTTAGCATGCACTGGACTTGACAAAGAGAAGGAAAAGCCAGGAGAGAGCCAGATGGGAAAGTGGACATGAGTTCTCATGGCCACGAAAGAGAAGTGAGCCAGGATCCAGCGAGAGGCCAGCTGAGTAGACTTAAAGGTCAGGCTCCAAGGCCGGGGTTGCACACCTGTTACCACACCTGTTACCCTGGCAACCAGGTCCCGCCGCTGTCGGAGGAGGCAACAGCGCTGAGAAGAGGACACGCGGTGAGTGACCAGTGGCCCGGAAGGAGTCTGGGGAGAGTCTGAGCAGCAGAAAGGAAATGAGGTCACCGGTACCAGGAGCAGCGGACTTCCGGTTCTACCACAGGCTGTGCGGGTACCCAGCGTGCAAAGATGGGTCAGTTTGACAAAGGAGCAGTCCGGCCAGGGGGTGCGGGGCGGCCGTGAATTCGAACCGTGGCTGTAAATGCTTAAAAGGCATCAATGTGGTCAACCTGCCCACCCAGTTCTGCCAGACAAACCAACGTCCAGCTGCTTCGTCCATTCGGTCTGCAGTTGTCTTTCTAAGAAAAAATCCTCGGCCCCAACAGTGCGGCTACAGCCTTACAGAGCAACAACCACAGGCGACGCAGGGCAGGAATTTTATAAAAAGTATGCAATCTAGAAATTTTTAAACTTTTTGTTAAATAACTCTGGGGTTAAGAGAGGAAATAGAAACCAAAATTACCGAATTTCTAAAGAGTGATGAGAATAGCTAGGGACACATTTAATATGGGGTCAGAGAGAGATGCAGAAGCCTTAAGGACTTGTATCAATAAAAAGAGTATGAAGATCAATTAATGAGAAAATCCTAGCTCAAAGTTCAGTAAAGGAAAAGGGGTACAGTAAAGTAACCCCAAAGCAAGCATGAAGAAGGAAAATTTAAAAAGCAAAAATTAATGAAGTAGAGAATTTTAAAAACAGCATATCTAATTAATAAGTGAAAATTCTGTCTCCAAAAGATAAGGTAAAACACCAGCCAATGTCAATAAACAAAAAG